TTGGTCTGTCTATGCTATGTCGAACTAGCCTGTAAGCTTTCCTCTTCTGAGTCTGCCATTCTTCATCAGCTGGCTTCTTGTTATTTCCTTGTTTTTGGTGCTGTTGGTATTGTGAATTGTTGTTTCCATCCTCTCTATTTGTGTATTGCATTTGCAGGTTTCTGGAATCTTGTTTGCCTGGTTCCCCTTTGTGTTTGTTCTTCCTATCAGCCTCCAACTCTTTTCTTTTTTTAAATTTGTGTCATCTCTTTGCTTAATAGTACAAACATGTAACAAGTGTCCTTGGTGTTTACAATACATGCAGTAATCCGGAATAAGCTCATATTCAATAGTTTGCTACCTCCCTATGTTAAGATCTTCTTCATTCAACCCCATCCACACATGAGGAGGTCTCTCTTTGGTAAGATCGATTTGGACTTTGACCCTAGCAACACTTTCTCTAGTTTTTTATATAGAAGCAGTGTCCAAGTACAAAACTTTGCCAATAGGACTCAGAAGGGCTGACAAGATGTCCTTGTAATAGCAATGCCAAGGTAGCTCCGGTAGAGAAATCCAAATAGGGACTATAGGTGTTTCCTCCTCAGGCCTAAAAGTAGGAGTCCACTTTTGAATTGGTTGGCTTACAGTGAATACTCTCCAATTATGCACTTCCACATCTTTATTGTTATGAATTGGTTTAGCTTACTATGAATTTAAGCATATTATATACATGATTTATTTCACTAATTTATAATTTTATTTTGAATGTGCAGGAAAATGCCGATAATTGAATTGGAATTGTAGCCAGAAGTAAAACTCCATCTATTGTAGTGAACGATGAAGAGTTTTTGTAGTACTATTGTCATATATGTTTGAATGCATTTGGTTTTGTGGAATTTATTGATAGTATATATCTTTAAGTAATCACTTTCTAAGTATTGGTTGTACAAGACATGTTTCTCGAAGTTTATTTGAAATATATAGCTTCTATTTAATTATTAGTTAATTTTGTACTTTAGGTCACTTGTATATTTAATTATGTGATTATTGAATATATGCAAATAAAAATTATTATTCTTAAAAATAGAAAACTCTGGCTACAAAATTCTACACAACATTGCCACACTTCAAAAGTGTTGTTGTAGGACGTCCAATGTTATCTTGTACATAAGAAAAGTTACACTTATAAGTGTTGCTCTAGATGAGATATAAAAGGCAACACTTTTTAAGTGTGGCCAATAACAAAGCCAAGGCAATGCTTTTAAGTGTAGTATAATTAAAAAAAGGTGTCGCTAATGCATCACTACAAAGCGTGCCCTTATACCTCTTTGGCTACGATTTATAAGTGTAGCTGTGATGGCGACATTTAAAAAGTGTTGCCTAATGCCAAAGGTTACGCTTCTTTAGGCCACCCCCTAAGAAGCGTTGCTTAAAGTCCAAAAGTGTAGTCTTTTATCAAAGGCCACACTTTTTGCTAGTTTATGCTACACTTTACTGGGGTGGCCGTAGGTCTAAAATGGTGTAGTGCTTACAATAATAGTTATCATTCCAACATTCAGATGGCCCCTATTGAGGCATTGTATAGGCGTAGATGTAGATCTCCAGTTGGTTGGTTTTGAAGTAGGTCAGGCAGCCTTGATAGGGCCAAATTCAGTTCATGATGCTATGGAGAAAGTGCAACTCATTAGAGATAGACTTAAGACATCCTAGAGTCGCCAAAAGTCCTATGTAGATGTAAGGAGAAGGGAACTAGAGTTCCATGTTGATGATTGGGTTTTCCTAAAAGTATCACCAATGAAGGGGGTGATGAGATTTTCCAAGAAAGAGAAGCTCAACACTAGATATGTAGACCCTTACAAGATGTTGAAAAGAATTGGTAAACTGGCATATGAGTTAGAGTTGCCAACAGAACTAGCAGCAGTGCATCCGGTTTACACAATTCATTGTTGAAGAAGTGTGTGAATGATCCAACATCTATTATACCCTTGGAAAGTGCGGCTGTGAAGGATACTCTCACTTAAGAAGAGGTACAAGTAGGAATCCTTGATCGTCAGGTTCGAAGATTGAGAAACAAAGAAGTCGCTTCAGTTAAGGTTTCATGGAGGAGTCAGTGCGTAGATGTAACACCGCCTATCCGAAGGAAACCAAATTGCAGATTTCAAAAGCTACAGGTGCCAGCTATGGGCCCAACCTACAGACTGTAGGGTGGCCTACAGTTTGTGCTGGTGGTTCGTGGTTCACACATGTAGCCTCCCCCAGAACTCTGCTCGAAAATTAGGCTAAGGTCTCCACGGTCAAAACCTATGGACCATAGGAGGACCCAAGGTCCATCCTGCAAGTCCGTGGTTGGCACCCACGACAGTTCTCCCAGAAACCTCAGAAAAATCAGCTAAGTGTTGACCCACAGCCGGACCAACGATCTGTAGGTCAGGTCACGGACTGTGGTTCGTGTCTGTGGATCGATGCCTTAGAAGCCCAACTTCAGTTATGAACTACGGTGAACCAACACGACCATCATTCAATCGACGGTCCGTCAGTCACTCCAATAGTAGTTAAGTCGGGGGTCTTTTGGTCTTTTCCTTATTCATCTGAACCCTAAACTACGTCGTTTAGACCCTAAATTATGAGGTTTTAGTCATGTTTAAGCCTAGAAACATAACTATAACTTACGTAAGTCAAATAATAACCCTAGAAAAATTATAGCGTAAGAGAGAAAAGAGGTCAAGAACCCTAGTTCAAGAAAACAGTAAGATTATATCAATTCCAGCCCCGAAATTGAAATATTTCTTTGTGGAATTCATCACTAGGTATGTAGGATTTCATTAGTGGGTTCCTTTCACCCATTAGGTCACTTGATTTCTGTCAGATTCTTGATTCCCTATTATCAACTAAACATAGGGTTTCTAGAACTTCAGCAGATTATCAAGAATTAGTTATTTACATGTTCCAAATCAGATTATCATGTTATTACTTCGTGTCTCGCATGAATTTCAGAACCCTAGCTATATATTTCTTTAGTTATTGAATTAAAAATACTAGGTCAGATATTTCAGTATTTCAGATATACTTGCCTCAGTCTTGAATGTGTCATTATCAGTATATTAATATGCATTCTCAGTCTGCATGTCAGTTTTTAGCAATCTAGTATATTACACAAATTAAGTCACAATGATTTAATCATTTAATCTATTGGGAGTAGCATAATACTGAGTTGGACTAGGGCCAGTCACCTACATAGTCCCAGAACTACGAGCCACATAGATTGTAAGTCCCCTATGCGGGCATCATTTTACTGATCACGCCAGCATGCCTCTACACCTTTGGCCGAGTGTATCGGTTTCTCTCAATGGGGCATATACATTGGACTCAACATTTAGCTCGTGTGATTTTATTATCAATTATTAGTAGCTCCCACAGTTCAGTCAGACTCCATTGCATTCACCATATTTCATTATAATCAGTATTCACCATCAACATGTCAAAATTTGGTCATTGCATTCTGTTAGCTCAGTATTTAGTATCTATATCATGTTCAAATTATATTCTTGCTTCATTGGTTGTTTAGTTATATGTTTATTTCAATTTTTCTCTATTCTGCATGCTCAGTACCTTTCAAGTACTGACGCATACTCTGTGCTACATCTTTTTGTGATGTAGGTACAGATTCTCAGCATCCAGATCACGCTTAGATCGGTTCCCGATCTCCATTTTAGTACTATCAGTGGTAAGTCCTCATTCTTGGAGGACAATAGTCATGTTATTTTTCAGTCCTCATTGTTTTAGTTTCAGTTTTGCTAGACTTAGCTGGGGCATGTCCCAACACTTCTAGTCAGTTAGAGGCTATTTTCAGACATAGTTAGATTCAGCTTAGTATTGAGTTTGACATTTCTTTTTTAGTGAAACTCTCCAACTTGATATATTCAGTTTAGTATAATGTTATTCCCCATCATTTCAGATTTACTTATGATTAGCTTCCGTATTAGTTATTATTATTCTTAGTATGTTCATGTCATGCCAGCAGGGTTAGCTTGGGTAATTTTTGATCATGTGTCCCGTGTCAGCGTCTCGGGGGTAGCTCGGGGTATGACAAACTTGGTATCAGAGGACAAGGTTTAGGTGTTCGAGGATGTCTGAAAAGCCGCACTAGGTAGAGTATTTTTCATGGGTGTGTAGTGCGTACATCTAATGAGAGGGAGGCAACAAAGTGTTTTAGGAAAAATCTTCATTTTCTTGTTACTTTTATCATGTGTAAGGTATGATCTAATTCCATTCTAACTCGACATTCTACATTTCAGTGATCATGCCTTCTTGTAGAGCTAATGCTAGGAATGCGAATGCCGGGAACGCAAACACAGCTCCTCTAGTCCCAGATCAAGAAGTTTCGAATGCAGAATTCAGGAACGCCATTCAGATGTTGGCTTAAAATGTGGTCAACCAGAACAATCAGCGGGCTCCAGTTCTGGCAAATGCTAATGTTGGGTCAGTTGCAACCAGAGTGCGAGATTTTGTTAGGATGAATCCACAAGAATTCTTAGAATCGCAGATTGGTGAGGAACCCTAAAACTTCATTGATGAGGTTAAGAAGTTCTTTGAAGTGATGCAGGTAATTGGGAATGATTGAGTTTAGTTCACATCTTACCAATTTAAGGATGTGGCTCATATCTGGTATACTCAGTGGAAAGAGAACAGGGGTACATATGCAGCTCCTATCACTAGTGGAAAGAGAACAGGGGTACAAATGCAACTCCTATAACTTGGGATTGCTTTAGTGAGACCTTTGTGGACAGTTTTTCCCAAGATAGCTAAGGGAGGGAAGATCTCAGGAATTTATGAACTTAAGTCAAGGAAGCATGACAGTCCAAGGGTATGGGCGCAACTTTACTAAACTCTCCTGGTATGCTCCTCACATAGTTGTTGATTGCAGGGCTCAGATGAATAAGTTTCTATATGGAGTGTCAGACCTGGTGAAGACAGAGTGTAGAAATGCTATGTTGCTAGAAAATATAAGCATCTTTAGGCTCATGACTCATACTCAGCAGGTTGAGGGTGATAATATTACGGAACATGATAAGGAGAACAAGAAGGCTAGGATTGGAAACTATGAGTATTCACAACATAAATCGGGCGGTGCAAATCGCTCGCATGGTCAGCAGAAGTTTTCAACTCCGGCACTTTCATCAGCTAGTGTTCCGTCCTCCAAGTTTAGACAAGATCAGAAAGGTAGGGCATCAGGCCCTATGTCTCAGGGAAGTTTTTCAGGTACCAAAACCTACCCAACTTACCCTAAGTGTGGTAAGAAACATTCGAGCGACTGCCTTACAGGAAAGGAAGGATGCTTTAGGTGTGGTCAGTCTGGTCACAGGTTGAGGGATTGTCCTTCTAAGCAGGGTAAAAGAGGTAATAATGGTAGATCTCAGTCTACAACTTCAGCAAAACCAACAAGTTGCCCAACTCAACAGGGTAACTCATCTTGTACAGGTGGCGGATAGCGCCAGAACAGGCTGTATGCTCTTCAGGCTCGCCAGGATCAGGAAGATTCTCCTAATATAGTCACTGGTATGTTACCAGTCTTTGATCTCGATGCTTATGCGTTGTTAGATCCAGCGTCACTCTTTCCTATGCAACTCCTTATATAGCGGTTAAGTTTGATGTTAGTTCAGAAAATCTCTCAGGACCCTTCTCTGTCTCTACTCCCGTCGGTGACCCAGTTATTCCTAGATGGGTATATAGAAATTGCCATGTCATAGTCTCCAGAAAGCCACCTCAGCAGATCTTGTAGAGTTAGAAATGGTAAACTTCGATGTCATTCTAGGCATGGATTGGTTACATTCCTGTTATGCCTCAGTCGATTGTAGAACTAGGATTGTTCGATTTCAGTTTCTAGACGAACCAATCTTAGAATGGAAGGGTAGTAGGTTAGAGCCTATGGGTCGATTCATTTCTTAACTTAAGGCCAGAAAGATGATCTCTAAGGATTATCTCTATCATCTAGTTTGGGTTAAGGATTCAAACACTGAAACCCTAAGTCTTGAGTAATTTCATATGGTTAATGAGTTTCCAAAAGTGATTCCAGAAGATATTCCTGGAGTTCCTCCCGATAGGGAAATCTACTTTGGAATTGATCTCCTTCCAAATACCCAGCCTATCTTTATTCTTTCTTACAGAATGGTTCCAGCTGAGCTTAAGGATTAAAAGAGCAGTTGAAAGACCTTCTAGATAACCTGGTATTTCGCCATGAGGTGCACTAGTGTTGTTCGTGAAGAAGAGAGATAGTTCTCTAAGAATGTTCATTGACTATAAACAGTTGAACAAGGTCACAATCAAGAATAAGTATCCCATCCCAAGGATTGATGACTTATTTGACCAACTTCAGGGTGCTAGTCATTTCTCAAAGATAGACCTCAGATCGGGTGATCATCAGCTCAAGGTCAGAGATAGTGACATTTCGAAGAAAGCCTTCTTAACTCGGTATGATCATTATGAATTTGTAATTAGGTCATTTGGACTAAAAAATGCTCTTGCAGCTTTCATGGATTTGATTAACAGAGTGTTCAAGCAGTATTTGGACTTGTTTGTTATTGTCTTTATTGATTAGATCCTCATTTACTCTAGGAATCAGGAAGAATATGCGGGTCATTTGAGAGTTGTTCTGCAAACTCTCAAAGATCGCCAGTTATTCGCCAAATTTAACAAGTGCTAATTTTGGTTACAATAAGTTGCTTTCCTTTGGCATATAGTATCTACCAAAGGGATCCGAGTGGATTCCCAGAAAATAGAAGCAGTCAAACAATTGCCCAGACCTACCTCTTCTATAGATATCAGAAGTTTCTTGGGTCTAGAAAGTTATTACAGAAGGTTCGTTGAAGGAGTTTCATCCATAAACTCACCATTGACTAGGTTGACTTAGAAGATGGTCAAGTTTCATTGGTCAGATAATTGTGAGAAAAGCTTCGCAGAACTGAAAACCAGGTTGACTACACCTCTTATTTTGACTCTACCAGAGGGTTCAGACGGTTATGTTATCGATTGTGATGCGTCTAGAGTCAGCCTAAGTTGTGTCTTAATGCAATGAGGTAAGGTTATAGCCTATGCTTCTAGAGAGCTTAAGGTGCATGAGAAGAATTTTCTGACTCGTGACCTCGAGCTTGCAGTGGTGGTGTTTGCACTCAAGATTTGGAGACACTACTTGTATGGTGTTCATGTAAATGTGTTCACATACCATAAGAGCTTTCGGTATGTGTTTACCCAGAAAAAGTTGAATTTTCGCCAGAGGAGATGGCTTGAGTTCCTCAAGGATTATGACATGAGTGTGCATTAACATCCGGGTAAGGAAAATGTAGTAGCAGATGCCCTTAGCAGACTATATATGAGAAGTGTAGCACATGTTGAGGAAGAAAGAAAAGATCTAGCAAAGGATGTTCATAGGCTTGCTCGTTTAAGAGTTTGTTTTATGAGCATATCAGATGGTGGTGTGACAGTTCAAAATGGATCAGAATCTTTATTGGTAGTGGATGTTAAGGAAAAGCAAGACAGTGATCCGATATTGATCGAACTCAAGGGTGCAGTCTATCAACATAGAGTAGAGATATTCTCCAAGGGGGAGACGGTGTGCTTCGCTAGCAGGGTCAACTATGTGTTCCTAATGTGGGCGAGTTGAGAAAGAAAATTCTTGCAGAAGCCCATAAATCCAGGTATTCTATTCATCCAGGCACCACTAAGATGTACTATGATATACGGGAAGTCTTTTAGTGGAATGGTAAGAAGAGGGATATAGCAGATTTTGTGGCTAAATGCCCCAATTGTCAACATGTGAAGGTAGAATATCAGAAACCAGGGGGTATGACTCAAGATATCGACATTCCTACTTGGAAGTGGGAAGTGATCAACATGGAATTCATTACAAAGTAACCTCGTACTCACAGACAACATGACTCCATTTGGTTGATAGTTCACAAAGTCACTAAGTCTTCTTGCTTTTTGGCGGTCAAGACCACAAATTTGGCAGAGGATTATGCCATGCTTTACATTAATGAGATAGTCAGGTTGCATGGGGTTCCTTTGTGTATCATCTCAGATAGAGGTCTTCAGTTTATCTATCATTTCTGGAAGTCATTTTAGAAAGGTCTTAGTACTCAAGTTAATCTTAGCACAACATTTCATCCACAGAAGGATGGTAAGGAAGAGTTTACCATTCAGACCTTAGAGGACATGTTGAGAGTTTGTGTGATCGACTTCATGGGTAGTTGGGATGATCACTTTCCTCTTATAGAGTTCGCCTACAATAATAACTACCATTCCTGTATTCAGATGGCCCCTTATGATGCTTTGTATAGGTGTAGATGTAGACCTCATGTTGGTTGGTTTGAAGTAGGTGAAGTAGCCTTGATAGGGCCAGATTCGATTCTTGATGTTATGGAGAAAGTACAAATCATTAAAGATAGACTTAAGACATCCCAGAGTCGCTAGAATATCTTATGCAGCTGTAAAGAGAAGGGAACTAGAGTTCCAAGATGATGATTGGGTGTTCTTGAAAGTGTACCCTAAGAAAGGGGTGATGAGATTTGTCAAGAAAGGAAAGCTTAGTCCAAGATATGTAGGCCCTTACCGGATCTTGAAAAGGATTGGTAAAGTGGCTTATGAGTAAGAGTTGCCAACAGATTTAGCAGTAGTGCATCCAGTCTTCCACATTTCACTATTGAAGAAGTGTGTGGGTGATCCAGCATCCGAGTGCCATTAGAGAGTGTGGCTGTGAAAGATAGTCTTTCTTATGTGGATTTAGCAGTTGAGATTCTTCATCGCCAGGTTAGAAGGTTGAGAAACAAATAAGTCGCTTCAGTCAAGGTTTGGTGGAGGAGTCAGTCCATAGAGGGAGCTACTTGGGAAGTAGAAGCAACCATGAAGTACAAGTGTCCTCACCTCATTCTTCCTATTCCACTCCAGCTTGAGGTAACAGTTCCTCTTCAATTTTTTCAGTTATTCATGCGTAGAATTCAGTCTTAGTACCATGTTCCTTCAGTTTGTACTTGAGTTTTCAGCGTATTTGCATGTTTTTGGAACTTAGTTTAGTCAGAAATTAGCTTCTCGTGTTTAGTGGTAGGGTTGAAGTTCATCCCATCCATTTTAACTAGTTTAGTCTGTATTCGAGGACGAATGTTTCCAAGGGGGAGATAATGTAACACTCTGTATCCGAACCAAACCAAATTGCAAATTTCAGAAGCTACAAGTGGCACCTACGGGCACCACCTACGAACCGTAGGGTGACCTACGATACGTGTTGGTGGTCTGTGGTTCACACCTGTAGCCTCCCCCCAGAACTCTTCCTGAAAATTTGTCTAAGGGTCAACCCACGATGAAGACCTACACACTGTAGTAGGACCCACGGTCCGTCCTGCAGGTCCGTGGTTTGCACCCATGACCCTCATCGTAGAAACCTCAGATAAATTGGCTAAGTGTTGACCTAATGCCTGACCTATGGTCCGTAGGTCAGGTGATGAACTGTGGATCGATGCCTCAGAAGCCCAACTTTATTTACGAACGACGGTTAACCAGCACGGATCATCATTCAATCGATGGTCCATCAGTCCCGTCCGTCAGTCACTCCGACAACAGTTAAGTCGGGGATCTTTTCTATCTTTTCCTTATTCGTTTGACCCCTAAACTAAGTCGTTTACACCCCAAATTATGAGGTTTTAGTCAGTTTAAGCCTACAAACATAACTAGAACATACCTAAGTCAAATCATTAATCAAAGTTGGAAAAATTAGAGTGTAAGAGGAGAAAAGAGGTCAAGAACCCTAGTTCAAGAACGCAACAAGGTTACATCAGTTCCAGCCTCAAAATTGAAAGATTTCTCCGTGGAATTTGTCACCAGGTATGTGGGATTTGATTAGTGGGTTCCTTTCGCTCATTAGGTCCTTAGATTTCAGTCAGATTATTGATTCCCTATTATCAACTAAACCTAGGTTTTCTAGAACTTCAGCAGATAATCATGATTTAGTTATTTACATGTTCCAAATCAGATTATCATGTTATTACTTCATTTTTCGCATGAACTTCAGAACCCTAGCTATGTATTTTTCTTTAGTTCTTGAATTACACATGCTAGGTCAGATATTTCAGTATTTCATATATATTTGCCTTAGTCTTGAATGTGTCATTATCAATATATTAATATGCATTTTCAGTCTCCATGTAAGTTTTAAGCTATCTATTATATTACAGAAATTCAGTCACAATGTGTTAACCATTTAATCTATTAGGAGTAGCATAATACCGAGTTGGACAAGGGCCAGTCACCCATATAGTCCCATAACAACGAGCCACGTAGGTTGTAAGTCCCCTCTATGGGCATCATTTTAGTAATCACGCTAGCATGCCTCTACACCTTTGGCCGGGTGTATTGGGTCCTTTAGATGGAGCGTATACATCAGACTCCACATTTAGCTCATGTGGTTTTATTATCGGTTATTAGTAGCTCCCACATTTCAGTC